ACAAAAAAAAAAAGGGTTCAATATAAAAAAAATGTGTATCAAGTTCAATTCACGAAAGAAAAAAAATTTGTGTATATTACTTGAATAAAAGTTCGTAGTAGACTACTTAAATACAAAAAAAAAGCCACAAAAAGAGTTAATTTCAAAATTCCTAGAATCAAGATCCTTCATATTCGTTCGATTGAGCTCCAACTATTTAGAAGAAGATGCAACAGCACAAAATGTAATGGTAGTTAGATATTGTTATAAAACAGGTAAAAACCTGTAATACAAAAATATTTATTTTATAATAAAATATGTACCAAATCCTTTTGTATTTAGCACACACAAAGACATAAGTGAAACCTTTGTTACAAAGGTGAAATATATACTATAGATTCGCTCTTGGTTAAATACAAAAATCTATTTTTATTCTTGGTTAATAATAATAGTATATTAGAAAAAAAAAAAAAGCTATATTATGCACTATATTCTTGTAACAGTACAAATTACTTATATATATAAATGCAAGTCCCACAAAAAGAACAATAAAGCTAACAAATTGGGTATTTGTCATATGTAATACGTACAAATTTATTTCTATTTAAAATAAAGGCATTATTTATATATACCTTATATCTAATATTGGTTCAAGTCGAATTCTTGTCATTTAGCCAGTAAAATTCTTGGTATTGGAAATTGTTCACCAATAAAATTCTTGGATGTTGGATATCATCCAAAAAATGTCCAACAATAATCACCAATAAAATTCTTGGACGTTAGACATTGTCCAAAAAATGTCTAATGATGATCAACCAATAAAATTTTTGGATGTTGGACATTGTCCAAAAAATATCCAATGATGATTAACCAATAAAATTCTTGGACGTTGGACATTGTCCAAAAAATATCTAATGATAATCAAATAAAATTCTTGGACGTTGGACATTGTCCAAGTCTATGTTTAATAATTTTCTTGGACATTTGTCCATGTATATCTTTAATCATATTGGATATTTTGGACATAGACATTGGACATTGTCTAAAATTGTCCAAGTCTGACCATTTTACTTGGACATTTGTCCAAGTACATTACTATATACAGGTATTTGTATTAAATATAGTATATTATACTATAGCTACTGTCTACATTATAATACAATACAGTATAATATATATAATAAGTATATACTGTATAAGATCTAAGCTAAGAATATATAGTAGATACTGTATTTTTTAAAACACTAAATGCTATTTGGTATAATATTGTATTACATCTCCTAATATTGTATAATAAATACAGTATACAGTATCAGATATGTAGATTTGATTACACTGGCAATTATAAATAGTGCAACAAAAAAAAATTTTACTTAGATCATATTATCTTATGCAATTCCAGGTGTATTGGTTAGTTTTTTTTTTTTTTTTTTTTTTACAAATAATACTTTTTTCTAATTTTAGAATTTTAGTAGCCATCATTAATACCGATGCAAAAATAATCATGCATGTATCACGAAACACGTGTTGTATTACTTTTGCTTGTTTTTAATAAAGATCAGATCGCGTGATCTGTACGATATAAATACATTTAAAAATATAAATCTCATTGTCGATTTTGCATCTTTTGCAATGCTAGAATTTATTGATAATCAAAAAGAAAAAAAGAAGAGCCAAACAACTCTTGCCAAACAAGCCCAAATATTACTCTCGCTCCAAAAAGAGTATATGACAAGGGCAGTAGGTCTGGCCCATAATATTTCTTTTTCTATGGTCTTGTGAATTAAAAAAAGGTGGTCAACAAACTGCTCGCTTGAAGATTTAGCAAGAGTTGGTCACTCAACTTCGTTGGGTGAACCAACCCAAAGAAGAATAGTAAATCTCATTACTTCCTGTTAGTGCTCCACCGCCATTAAAATAAGGGCTCATCTCATGAAAAATGAAAATATGAAAATTTCAGTATCTACTATATGCCAGCATAGCGGGCTTTATTATGATTGGCTGATTTGTAAAGATCATCTAATCATAATAAAGTCTTATTAAAGTAACGATTTGCTATCACAAGAGTGCACAAAAATGAATTTGGGGCCACTGATATGAATTCGGCAAGGTTATGACATAAAGATTTAGAAACTACACCTTTGGCTCTACAACATACCAAAGTAATTTGGTAAT